GCTGGAGATAAAGTTGATTTCGGATGCACATCGGGTTATGTATTCCTATTGAGAAAATAACGATTTCATGGTGCTCAAAGTTACAACTTGTTGTGGCACTCTCCTATTGTGAAACTGAATACATGGTTACTGCTTACATAGCTTGTCAAACATTATGAATCAAGAGTTTGATGAATTGAGTCCTTGGAAGACCAGAGAAGACTATGACACTTAAAATTGATAATAAGTCAGCAATCAATTTAGCAAAAAATCCAATTCATCATGGGAGAAGTAAACATATCAGATTAAGATTTCATTCCATCATAGATGAAGTAAGGAAGACGAATTTGAGGCTTAAGCATTGTGGGACGAAGGAGCAGCTCATAGACATTATGTCGAAACCTTTGAATAATCGAAGATTTGAAGAATTGAGAAAGAAATTAAATATTAAATTGATGGTTGAATAATGGGGGGTTATGTTAGATGATAATTCAACAATTATATTGTAATGATTGTTTTAATTAGGTTATTTAGCCTAACAAACCTAGTGAATTCTTATCAATACAGTATCTCTATAATATTTATATATAATACAATTGTATAATTTAATATTTCTTTTTTCTTTTGATTCTTGTTCTTAGATCTCTTTTCGTTAATAATTAATTTAGACAATTTAAGTTTTTTTAACATTTTTTTACTGAGAAGTTTTAATCAATTAAAAACATGAAATAATTAATTAATTAACCTTTTAAAAAATTATTTGATTAAAATTATGAATAATTTGATTAAAACAATACTAATTAATTATAAAACAATTTGTTCTCTTTTTATTTCATGAATCAAAAGCAATATAAGTGATGTGAAAAATAATGAATGAGAATACTTGAAAATTTCTTCATGTATTGTTTAAACATTTTGTAGATGTATAGAAAAATAATAAATAAATACTCCTTTATATACATATTTTTTATTTTTTTAATATTAAAACAAATTTTTTTAATAATCAATAAAGATATCTATGTATATAAATTTTAATATTGGCATAATAGAAATATATTTAGTTTTATTTCTTTAAATATCAAATCTAATATCCTTCTTGGACACTTTAAAGTAACCTAAAAACCGACCATGTATGGGTGTTTCCAATGACTAAACCTACCCTTAAACAAAGAGCCGCAACTTCCAAGTTTCTTCTAAAACTTTAATTCTCAAAACTCTCGTATTGTAGAGCCGCAACTTCCATGTTTCTTCTAAAACTTATATTCTCAAAACTCTCGTATCATTTCCCAAAATGGTCAAACACTGAACACATAAATATAAATCAACTACACGATACTCACCACCAACACCACCAACTATAATCCTCATCGCTATATTAAATACAGAACATGTAATGTATACCGTGTCCACGTTTATATTAAAAATATAGAGCCACTTTCAAATATAATCTTGCGGTTATGATTTGTTATTCTTCCATTTACTTAAAGTCTCTATTACTTAAAAAATAAAAATTAGAACAATTTATATATATACATATATATATATTTTTTTAATTTATTGATATATCTTTTCTTTTGATTACAAAATCGTTATAAATAAAAATTTTAAAAATATTTTAGATATCAAATTGATTTTAATAATGTTATCATATGAGATATTACAGGAAAATAATATTTTTGACATGAAAATTAACCTTAATATTATTATAATATATTGAAATATATTAAAATATTTTTTAAAAATAAAATCATAATAAATAAAATATTTTTTAAAAATAAAATGGTAACAATTAATAATTTTAAAATAGGCATTATTTTTAAAAAAATTAATTTTAATAATATTATCAAAATAAACATTCCCTAATGATAATATCTCAAATAAAAAGTTAAACCGTAATAATATTATTATAACAAATTAATTATTAAGAAAATTATTTAAATAATATATAAATATTTTTAACCTAATTTTATAAAATAGGACTTTTAACATTAATAATTGATTTTGAGACTACATATATATTATTAATAAATATATATATATATATATATATATAAGATAAAATAAAATAAAATAAAATTATAAATATATAAATAAATAAAAAAATTAAAATTATAAATTATATTACAAAATTTGAAGGAGTGACGCCTGAATTCCCAATTAGTTCTGACACTGGGGAGTTTCATCATTTCAGTTTCAATGAGATCTTGGCATGTGAGAAAGCTATAAATTTATGCACTGTCTGAACAAGAAAAAAGAAACATGACTCCTCCGAACAAGAAATTTCAAATAAACAACACACCATGTCGGCGTGTAAGTTGGTTCTGCTGTTAAGTCATACGGTTCTTGTCACATTTATTACGCAAAAGTTTATTATATTTGCCTCCTCCCATGCACCTTCGTCGTTCTACCTTCTATTCATCTAAATAGAATATTCAAAACTAAAATCTCTCAAGAGAAACTACTAAATTTAATATCACATGGTCAGAGAACCCGAATAAGTGTATTCTATATTTGGTTGACAAAAAAATCATTTGAAATACATGCATTGGTATATTTTATGTCACAGTTGTTTTTCATTTTAAAATCGGATCCATCATCAAATTAATAAAGATATTAATTCAGAACTTAATACTTAATTAATAAAATAATATTTTTAATATAATAAATTTATTAATAATAATATCCTTTTTATAAAAAATAATAATAATAATAAATATTAGTTTCATAATTATCATAAATTATAATAAAATTATAAATATAAAATATAGAATATAAGATGAATAATAATTAAAATAAAATAAAAATATAATAAAATAATTATTATTTAAAATTGATATAATTATGAAATAAAAAAATTAAAATATAGTATATCTTTTATAAAAAAAATATATTAAAATTTTTTATGTTTAAATTTTCTTTATCAAACCCGTTTAATAAAAGACTTAATCGATTTTCTCAAATTTTCCCATTTTATACCAATTTCATTCTATATTAATTAAAAATTTATTATTTATAAACGACAAATTAAATTTTAGACCACCGATTAAATTAGTTGAACGATCTTCTGGTCAATCTTCACGTAGACTCTTGACATTTGAGATTTAGATTCTTCTCGCTCGGTTTAAAGGGTCTAAAAAAAACAAAAAAACTCTAACAAGTCAACGAAAAAAAACATAATGTAGTAAATATGAATGAGAAAAAAATAAATAATATTTATATTAAAAATATTATTTTTTATATTATTTAAATAAATTTCTTATTAGGTCTTTTTGTTTTTTCATGACTGCTTCTTCCTATATTTATGCACTTTTGTATTATACGAAAAGATAAAAATATTTCTAAAGTCAATTTTTCTCTTCCGCAAAATCTTTCTCTTCTACTTTATACTTAATCTTAACTATTTGTGCAATTATATCTCAATTTTTTTCTTCCATTCTATACTTAATCTTAATTAGTTCATAATCTTTTATAATTTATAATTTATTTAGTTAATAATTATGTGTCGAGAACTTATCAAGCCTCCTAAATAAACTCTAACCCTTCCATTTTGAAGAGAATCGTTCTAAAAAACTTGCTTGATATGTATTATGTTGCACTTTCAAGATGCATGGTTTCCTTTCCGATTATTTAAGTATTACATTTTAATAATTAATTTTAAAAATAACTACACTTATCTTTAAAATAATATGATTTTATGTTTTAAATATTTATATAGGTTTCATTTGAGACAATAAGTTGAATACTATGATAACGTAATGTGATAACCGCTTTAATGTACTTGTTTGATGTAGCAAATTCATATATTATGGATCAATATTGTTATCAATTGAATTTTAGAATACTATGAAAATTGACTCCCTTTTTTTTTTTTTAATTTCTAATACTTATGTATTGCTATAAATGATACACTATATTTTATTTCTATTATTGTGTAGTATTACTTTGCTATTTTATAGAATAAATGATGATTTACAATTTTTTATTTGATTTATTTATAGTTATATAAAAATTATTTTGTTGAAATTTATTTTAATTTTTATATTTTAACAACGAGGACCTATAGGATGATTTATTTCACTCGCAATCCGCAAAAAAAAGCAGGCTGGGAATAGAAAAGAAATGTTTAGTTGGTCATTAAATTGGTTCAATAAATGAATGTATTAAATCGTGATGCATAAGACAAAGTTGAATTTACCAAATTCACAATTTTAGACTCTATTTAGATTATTTTCTTCCTAAAGATTTGAATATATATATATATATATATATATATATATATATATATATATATATATATATATATATAACTTCGCATCCATAATACAATTTAATATTAAAAAGAAACCTTAATAAAAATTTGATGAGAAGGATTTTTTGAAACTTGACCATAAATAAATCAAATTAATTAATTAAAATAATTTTTATAATTATTTTCTAACAAAGATATGAAAGCATTGATAACAGAAATATGAAAACATTGAGTATAATCAAAAGTCAACGAAAAAAATTCAACCCTAACGCTCTGAATCCTAAAAAGACTAGAAAATGTTCTCACTATATAAACAAACACCGTTTATGCAAATCTACGAACACTCTAAAAGCTCTATCTCCGTCTTTATTTCTATTCCATAGAAGCTTTTTCTTCCCTTCGTTTCTCTGAACAAGAGTTGAAACATTCCAATGCTATGCATGATCCAGTTTCCATGCAATTTTATTGAGTACACACTCAGAACCTTCTTTTCAGCAACCAACCGTTTTTTTTTCTTTCTGTGGTTCCTCCCTTGTCACCTATTTCAGAAGCTGATTTTTGAGTCTTTTGCCTCTGTAACTTTCTCACTGCGGCATTAACAAACAAAGGAAAACGTTACCCTGTTATGTATGTTTTTGCATGAGTGTGAATTATTTTACAACCAAATAAGGCCTCTACTATTGTATTTTGTGACATTCTTCAACCTTGATCTTGATTTATTCTTACTGTTGTTTTGTGTGTTTTTTTAGAATTGTACCTTCGAGTTTAATCCATGTCGTGTGTGGCAGCACGTACGGGGCGACAACGACAACGTTACGAGGACAACATGCGCCTCGTCTCTGGGTAAGGCTTTCTGCTAACACCAGTAATTAACATAATCATAATTATATATATATATTTAAAGTTAAGTTATTACTTACAATGATTTTTCTTATTGGAGTGTAAAGTGTAATATTTTTAAAAATTTTGATTGGGTTTTGGTCAGCAACTATAAAATTTAAATAGTGCATGTGTAACATAAAAATAGTATCAATGTAATATTTTTAAGACAAGAGAAAGATTTTTTGTAGAATTTAGAAAAAATTGGAGTGGAAATGTAATTAAAAAAATTAAGGAAGTGTCAGTATAATTTATTTTAAAGCTTTTTATAAAATTAGTATAAAAAAAATCATCATTTTTCACAACATATATTTCGTATTTTTCCCCTCCCTTCTCTGAGCAAGTTAATGAAATCGAAATCAAGAACATTTTTTTTTTTTATGAATTATGCTGAAAGGTTAGCTTAAAAAGTGGTGTTATTTACATTAAATATTCAACTATATTTTATAGCAGGCCATATCATTGAGTTTGACCCGAACAAATATAAAATCTAATTGCGTGATCAATTTTGGCTGTTATATAAAATGATAAAACTAGAACATAATGTCTGCTACTGTAGATTCTCATTAGTCATTTAATATATCTCCTGGAGAAACTTCCACCTAGGTCACATGTATATATATAATGATTATTATTTTTTTTCATTTAAACTCTTCATATGTATTTTTATCTTGCTGGAAATTTCCAGTATTAAAGAGAAATATACACTCAAGATTAATAATAATAAGTTGAAAGTATTCTATACAAGTGGGGAAGATCTTTATTTTACAAGATGGTTTTGGATGATTTAAATTATCATGACTACAATTTATATACCCCTAATAAAAATCTATATATAATGATTTAATTAGTGATTGTACAAATAAATTTTCAGTGCGCTTGTTAATTTTTCTATTTGGTGGATTCTACTTACTAATTTGATTGAAAATTAGCATAAAATGATCACTATCACTAACTCACATTATATGGATTAATCCAAGAGTAACCTAAAAGAAATATTTGTTGATGAAGTTATCAAAGCAGAGTGATTTTTGAAGGAGTAAAATCTATGCTACAGAGATCCCAGCCAAGGTTAATCTCTGTTCAAAGAACAGATAAATCATATACTATAAAACTCTCACAATAGTTATATTTATAAGTATCAACTTCAAGACAGAAATGGATTTTGAATATAAGTAGTTGAAGCACTTCCAAACATATATAATTTGCTAGAAAATTGGTGAGGACAAATATTTGATGACACTTGCAACAAAATCTTTTAACAATTATAACTAAATTTCTTACTGATGCATTGTAACAGATGTATTCCCTATAGATGGATAAAGGGAAAAGTGGATCAAAATGAAGATACAGAGGAGATAATAGAAGTGCTAATGGTTTCTTCACCAAAACGTGATGACCTTGTGTTTCCAAAGGTACTTGATATTGTCGTCTTTTAACCAATGCACACTTCACCAGCATGAAACTCTTTGTGAAGTGTCACTTTGTTCTCTTTCCAGGGAGGATGGGAGGATGATGAAACTGTTGCAGAAGCTGCTTGTCGTGAAGCCCTAGAGGAAGCAGGAGTTAAAGGGATTGTAAGAGTAAGTTTGCTTAATTATAGGATATGATATTCTTCATTGAATGTTTAAGCATGAATTTGAATGATAGAATAGGTTATGTTAAGCATGAATCTTAGTATATATACCATGCCATTGTCCATAATCATGACATTAACATGCCACATAAACCTCCTCCCATTTTTGAGGTTCCATTATTAAGTTTTTTCTAGAAGCATTTCAATAGCTTCAACTCTCACAACCATCTACTGTTTATAGTGATAAAAAATGCTCATAGTAAACCCTTCTCGCAGCAAAATTATTTGAAGTTTTTTGACATGAGAAGCGAATAATCCACATCTATGGGAATTACATTGTTGATGGGGGAATTTTGGTATTTAGTTATGAACTATCTCAATAAAAACTCCATTCTCTGATAGATATTAGTGTACAGCAACTTTATCCTATTAAATCTACCCTTTTTCTAACTTCAGCATTCAAATTCAAGTCAACTAAGCAAAACATGCTAAAATGCCAGAAAGCAGTAACATGGTGTTAATTGCACATTACCACCACCACTACTTCATTTCATCATGTCATTATAGTAAAAACTGACAAAAAATGCAGATGATTCTGCCATTCTCCCAATCTCTGTAGTGCTTAAGACAATGCTCTTAGCCATTCATATGATCTATATGATATCAAATTGAGAAATGATCATTAGCTAAATGGTGGACATTCATTTTCAGGAAATTCCCTTGGGAAGATGGGAGTTCAGAAGCAAAAGCAGCAATGATTCACGTAGCCAAGAAGGATGGTGCAGAGGGTACATGTTTGCCTTAGAGGTAACTGAAGAACTTAAGACTTGGCCAGAGCAGAAAGACCATAATCGCCACTGGGTAAGTGTTCTCTATAAATTCTTAAAAAGAGTTACATAAATCACAACATCATATATAAACATTAATTGTAGGGGGTAAATAATATATTATTAATAAACAATAAATAAATATAAAAAGAAAAAAGAAGATGAAATAATGAAAGGATAAATTTGTAAATATATACTTAAATATATTAAATGATCATTAAGTTTGAGAGGGATAAAATCATAAATTATATGAGAGTTACAAAATAGAGGAGGGGGTGAGAGGATAAAATTGTAAATATATAAGTAAATATATTAAATGTTCATTGTATTTGGAGGGCCAAAATCATAAATTATATGAGAGTTACAAAACTTTGGAGGATCATAGTTCCTCTAAGCTCCCAATAATATAGAATGTTTTGGAAATAGTTTGAGAGTAGAGAAATCAAGTGTCCTGAATAAATTCTTAAAAGAATTACATAAATCACATCATAGAAGTACCAAGTGCAAGATATATAAATATGTAAAATGCAAGTTGGACTTATTGACATTACATGAAATACATAGCATACATGGGAACAAATTCAAGAACAGAAAATCACGTTTGAAATGTGAAAAGATCATATCTGAAATGAAAACCAAACTTGGTAATTGTAGATTAGTTTTAGAACCAGAGAACATATTTGATGTAGTTGAGGTGAATATTTTATCTTTTTTAGGTGAACATAAAAGAAGCATTCAGACTAAGCCGATATGACTGGATGTGCAAGGCATTGGAAGTGTTCTTAAGAGTTATGGCAGAAGACAGAAAGCTAAAGAAGGAGGAAAACACTGTTGATTCTTCTTCAATGTCAGTTCTAGATGTGTCAGAAAGTCAAAATGTGTCATCCAAATGCTATAAAAGAACCCCTACAACACCACACCACAGTATATCTTCAAGAACCAATATCCTGGCCCATGCTTCCCAGGAGATAGCTATTCACTTTATGTGATGCAGTAACTCCTTCCCATTTGATAAAAAGAAATAATTATAATTAATGACTCTTTTACAGAGTGTTTGTATGAACATTTGCAAACTTGTTTAGGAAAATTTTAATTTTGTATAAGTGATTTTGGCTAAGACCTTCAAGTAAAGCGATTTAAGTTTAAAGTATGTTTTGAATAAAAATTGGCATGATTGTTTTTAACCCCAACAAAAAAGTCATTTATTTTAGTTTCTATTCAGTGGTACTTTTGCGAATATAATTATATTCTGTCGTTTTCAACAGAACATAGTTTTTCAAAGTAGTAGATCCAGTTAAGAAGTATTGTAGAAAACTCTTGAGTTCTGAGATTTAAAACTCGCCTGTAGATTCTATCTCAATTTCTTGAGTGTAACGAGTTTTTCATTAATTTTCTTTATGTCTCCAAGTTAATTAACTACACATGAATCAATCTATTTAATTTATGTAACAACATATATTATCATAATTTATCTATCTAACAACACATTAATCAATTTATTTAACTTTATTCAGTAATTGAATACATTTATTAGTGCAAATGAGAATGGAAAGACAAATAACCAAAAACTCTAAATCATTCTAAATATGAAACAATATTTTTTGTTTAAATTAATGAAAAATTGATGACCCAAAATATTTTAAATTGGGTGGTTTTACATCCAATATCTATTTAGCTCCAGTTTAATTAACTCCAAATTAAAGAGAAAATATGATTAAGTTGAAGTAAATATTAAAAAATGTTGGAGTTCATTATGATTTTCACATTAAATAAAAATAAATAAACTATGTAATTTATAAATAGAAATTACCCAAGCTTAATTTTTTAATGTTTTGAATTGAAATGTGATGTGAATTCATTTTTGTGATATGTTCATGACTCATTCACAAGGAGTTCTTTCAAATCTTTTAACTTTTATACATAATAAAGAAGGTCTTTATCAAGTGTATCTAGTAAGCTCAATTAAAACTTTTTTTAACCTCTTAGTACCTTCTTTTATGACTAGTCCGTCCATTTTGCATTTACAAAGGGATTGTCTGAATTAACTTTGTTCATTTGAACTTTAATTTACATTTTTTTAAAGGAAAAAAAAATCAAATTCTATTCAACAATACTGGCATATAATCACAATGTGTGACAAAAACAAAAAATAAAGCAGATTGTGCATAGGAATCACGTGTTTTTAATATTTCAATTCCACCTTATCATTCATCACATTAAGAAAAAAATATAATAATATTATTATAATGCAACGTAATAATTATATTTAGATGATAAAATAGGTTAAATATTTTGAATTAATCCATCGGCCTACTTCAAAAATAATATAACGGTCAGTATTTTTAGTTCGTCAATTTATTTTGATTCGTCTAATTTAATTTAGATTATTTTGGTTCGTCTAATTTAACTTGTTAATCCAGCGAATCAAAAACAAAATCATTGACCCACTTTAAAATAAATATTTATATATTAAAAAAATTATAATTTAAAATATTATATTTTGTATCATATTATTAAAATATATAAATATATTATAATATTATAATTTAAATTATAAATATTAATCAATTAAATTTAAATTATTAATTATAATTAATTATTTTAATGTACAAATATAATAATTTTTAATTTATTTAATAAAAATATTAATTAATAAATAAAAACTTAAAAAGTATTCTTATAATTAAATGTATGTTTTAAAAAAATATATATAATTTTTTATATAAAAAAAATATATTAATGAATTGACTTGTTACAAGATCTATATCTTGTCTAGATTATAATAAGATAATTCGTCTCGTCCTATTTTTAACATATTAAAAAGAAAGTTGAACTAGATCACTTTTATCCATAATAATATTATAATTCTACTCTCAAAATCAAAACATAACAATTAAATGAACTAAAAATAAACAATATAAATGATAAAGTGTCTCATTATAATAATAATAAAAGAAATATGAATAATTATTATATTAGCCTTCAACCAACATTTTAACCCCAACTTTATAGTATTTAAATTATATGATAGTGTTTATATTAAACATATATTACTTTATTATTATTATTATTATTATTATTATTATTTACATTTTATAATAAAATAAAATAAATTTCATTATATTATTTAAAAAGTGAACAAATTATTCATAAAAATAATAAATAATATTCATTATTGTAAACATTAAAATTAGCGGGGAAAATCATTTAACTGTATTTTTTAAAATATCACTTAAATTTTGTGACATATTAGCGATGAATTTCGTCAATTTAGGTAAATTAATCTTCTTATTTATATTAGCTAACTTTATTTTGCATAAATGTTATAATATGATTAGTTCTATATTAAAACTAGTTTTTACTTTTGTGCAATGCGTTTCTAACATTTACTAAGGTTAATTAATAAGATTAATTCACTAATCAAAATTTTATATGATTTAAATTTGGTTTATTGTGATTCTAACTATGTAATTAAGATTGTTAGGTTTAAATTCTTAATTTGCATCACAAGTAAATTTTTATTATTAAGTGATTGCTTGATTTAAAAATTGAATTGAATTTTGATCTAATCAATTTTATTATAAGTGTTTAGAATGAATATGAATCTATCTTGTTCTTAGCTAAATTTTCTACACTTTCATAGTTGAAATTCTATATTTAGTGCTTCTTTTTTATTGAATGTTTTCTTTATTGTTTTCAACTTTTTCTTAAAATTAGATTTTACTTCATTTACTACTTTTATTATACTCTAGTGTAGACCCCAAATCTTGCCCGACTTCATAATAAAGACCAGAAGACCTCATTTTCGAAGATGGATGAAGCCTAAGGAGCCACTAGGAGAGACTATTAGGCCCCATACTAGGATAGGAGGGATTTTTGGCTCAAAAATAAGGATTTTCGCCTTTTAAGGTCGAGACCGCCGTCTCGGATTCGAGACCGCCGTCTCGCCTTGTGCAAATGGCGAGACCGCCGTCTCGCCTTATGCAAATGGCGAGACCGCCGTCTCCTTTGGCGAGACCACCGTCTCGCCACTCGCGAATGGTGAGACTGCCGTCTCGTTTGTCGAGACGGCCGTCTTGACCTTGTCAGATGAGACGGCCCGTCTCGACCTGACAGGCGCGAATCCCTATAAATAGGAGCGTCATTCCCTTCATTTCCAACAGTTCTTCCTCCTTCTCTCTAGACTTTTCTTCAAATTCTCTCTCTAGACCCCCTCCGAAGCATTTCCGGAGTTTCTGAGAGTTTTCTAGAGCGTTTTCGGCATTGTAACGAGCATAGGGCTGCCAAAAAGCACCCTAGTACTCAAAGAATTAATAGAAAAGCTTGCTTCGGAGGTTTATACTTTCTCTCTCTAACTTTTATTTTAAATTACGCAATAGACATTAGAGTCATGTAGTCATAATTTAAATTTCGCAAATAAAAGGGTAAAAGCGTATTTTCACCAGTTTAATTATTTTTAAGTAGCTGGCCTATCATAGGGAACCCGAAAGGGGCGTCGTAAAGGAACTAACACTTCCTTTACGCGTAACTAACTCACTTACCCAACTCTGGTTCTAATGACCAAAGTTGGTTTTTCAAAAACCAACGCCTTTTAAACTCCTTTTCCGATGTTTTCAGTAAAAACATTGGTGGCGACTCTAGAGAACCCTTAAAAAACTAGTTCTTGGTTTAGCCCGGTTATCGGACAATCCAAGAACGCCCTTTCGAAAACCTCGCCTCTAGGTTCAGCTCGGTTATCGGACAACCTAAAGGAGTTGTAACCACCAATAATAACGCGAAAATTGGAAAGTCGGAACCATCGCGTCGCTCCGACCACCTCTTTTTGACGGCGGCTACATCTAGGTTTAAATGTTTTTCTTTACAATTTTTTTGCACTTTAATGCCTTGTTTACAACTTTATTAGTGTTATCTTTATTGCTTTGATTTCCTATTATGTAATTTTACTTTCTGCACATTTTAATTGTTTTCGTTATGTATGGTTTACAGCCTTGTATTAGTTAATAGGTTTATTATATTTAAATTACTACTTTTCAAACCAAAAATACTTAAATTTCTCCTAATTAGGGATGACAAAACAGTGCAGGTCCGACGGGTCGATCCACCAGCCCGCCATAATATGGTAGAGTAGGTTAGTGTTTTCAGCCCACCAGCAGTTTCGACCGCCCCACCAAACCCACCAACCCGTCGAGTCAACTGCGGGACGGGCGGACTCAGCCTAATTAATAAAAAAATAATTTTTTATTATAATAAAATTAATTATAAAGATAATATATAAAGTTAAAAAATTTAAAAAGAGAATTAAAATTTTTTTACTCGATAGAAAATATTCTTCTTACTAAAACACAACATTCTCTTCTGTTCTCTTTGTTCATCCCAAACACTCGCTTATTTTTATCTTTATGACTTGAATTAAAGGTGTAAGAATTACTCAACCAAGAATAATGTGAAGTTTTATCAAATAAAAAAGATATAGGTATTTGAATTTTTCAATATAAAAAATATAAATTTTATAAGTTTTAACGTTATTTATATATATTTATATATATATATATATATATATATTTGTTATTATTTATTATTATATAAATTTTATTATTGTTCTAAATTATAATTTTTTAAAATAATGTATTGATTTATATTATTAGATTAAAATAATATATATATTGAATTATTGACAAACAAATAATAATCTTACTATTAAATTTATTAAAAAATATATTTTAAAAAATAAATTATTTTTTTCTAAATTATGGTGGGTCAATCCGCCAGCCGCTAACCCGCCCCTTGACGGGGCGGACTAAGGTTTACAGTCCGTCATGACTATAACGGGTCAGCCCACCCCGCTTTTGGTAGGCCAAAGGCGGGACGGGCCAAAACAAGGCGGGTTGACCCGTTTTGTCATCCCTACTCCTAATCCTAACTCTTAATAAGTGAAAGTCAAGTTTATAACACATACCAATGCTCCTCAAAAATACAATCTAGTTTTTCG